TTCCCTGGCCAATTCTTTGAGAAGTGGACGGCCTCTTCCTTCTTCCTAGTCTGTCTCAGTCTATAAGCTGGGCTGTTACCTGTGCACCAGGTGCATCTCGCTGGGATATTAATTATAAGATAGAATTAATTCTCTTCCATTACTAAAGAAAATAAATCAATTGTCTTTTGCCTTTGAAAGACCTTTAGGAAAGAAAAGAGCTCTGGTAGTGTAGTGGATAAGGCACTTGACTGGTACCCAGAAGGTCAGTGGTTCAAACCCACCAGCTGCTCTGAGGGAGGAAGATGAGGTGATCTACCTCCGTAAAGATTTACAGCCTCAAAAACCCAGTAGGGGTCACTATGAGTCAGAAACGAATGGATGGCAATGAGTTTTGGTTTGAAGAAGGATTTATCATGAAGTATCAATCCTTACAAATAGTAAAACTTACTAAGAGAAAAAAAAAAAAAAAGAAAACTCAAATGCTAAAACTGGATCCACTAGTGCTGTGATGAAATATCAAAAAATCCATTGCCATCAAGTGGATTTCAACTCAGGAACCTTATAGAACAGATTAGAACTATTGCATAGGGTTTCCAAGACAGTAAATATTTATGGAAGCAGACTGCCTTATCTTTCCCCCACACCACAGAGTGCTTGGTGGGTCTGAACTGCTGACCTTTTGGTCTGCAGCCAAGTGCTTAATTGCTGTGCCACGAGGGCTTGTCCCTGAAGATACACCAAGAGTTCTTTTAAATTTGTGCATTGTTACTTCATATCTTTGAAGAGTCATGTATATTGGCTATTTTTTTTTTCGTTCACACATAAAGATGTTTTGGATATAGAGGCTGGATTGAGCCCCTGAAACTATTACTCTGTGATAATCTTTAAACCTTAAACCAAAAATAATCCCTGAAGTCTTCTTAAAACCATAGTTTAGCTTAATTAACAAAGAATGTCTGCCCTGGGCATTGTGCTCTTTAAAGATGTATCTATATAGGATCAAACTTACAGTAGTAACTTAAAAAATTATATAGGAAACTCAGAGGGTTGTGAGTTTATGTCAACGAGGGAGAACAGCTCAGCTAGGAAAAGGAAGGTGACAGTAGTCACACCACTCAAGAATGTAATCAGTAGCACTGTATTTTATATGCATAATGGTTGAATTGATGTACTGCTGTGTGTATTCTCCACAATAACAAAAATATAGAAATGATAAAAGGAAACAAAACATTTAATAATTCAGCTGAACTGGTGATTCTTTTCTAAACTGACTACCTGTTCATTCCATAATAATCTCTCCTATGTAATCACATGGCATGGCCTTTAATAATCAAGGTTTTCTGTTATAAACAATCTATAATAAATCATTGGTCACAAGTAATCATAGGTAATATAGCATAAATTTGTTTTCTTTTTGTCCACAAGTGTTAGAAACTTTTGATTTTCAGGGTTTTTTTTTTTTTTTTTAATGATACAGTTGAATGTGCTAGTAAAGTTGAAAATTCACCACTGTGGAAACTTTGACAATCTAAGGAGTAAGTTGGAAGTATTACATATATGTCATTTTCAGATTTTGGTGTGAGAATTGCATGTTGTGATCACATAATTATGTTTATCTTACCATTTTAACCTGTATTAATTATCATAACCAAGGTTATTTTATTCCAGCAACTCCTATGAGAGATTTTAGTTTGTAAGGAGACACATAATAAATAGTTCACTTTGAAATTTGATTGTAAGAGCATGAAAATTCTAATTTTCACAAAAAGTTTCTTTTACAGAGTAAATTTAAATATTAAAATGTGGTGACTTTTTTTTTCTTATTCTTAAAAATTAAACCAAATTAAATTATAATCTTTAGAAGAGATTATTAAATCAAGATACATTCCCATTGGTAGAAAGTCAGGGGAGTCATTTAAATTAACTATAATTTACTTTTAAAAATTATTAGTACTGAAGGAATAGTTATAAATCTTTTGCCGTTACTGTTTTTTTAAGGCAAGAGGAGCAGATGTTCCGGAGATTCCTGGGGACCTTACTCTTAAGACATGTGGCAGTACAGCCAGTATGAAGGTTAAACATGTGAAAAAGTAAGTAGTAATTTTACAATAAGAGCCCTGATGGCATAGTGTTTAAGAGTTCAGCAGCTATCCAAAAGATCAGAAATTCATGCTCATCAGCCTCTGAGTGGGAGGAAGATGTGGTAGTCTGCTTCTGTAAAGATGATAGCCTTGGAAACCCTATGTGGAAGTTCTACTCTGTCCTTACAGGGTCAGAACTTACTTGATGTCAGTGTGTTTGGGTTTTTTTGGGTTAACTTCATAGTGAGTTTTAAATGAATTTCTATAAATGAAAACCAGTTCTTTAATTATCTTAAAATGTCTACTTAGATTCCTTACTACATACATTCTTAAGTCTGTATATTTAGTTACACTTTCCAGTCTTAAATTGTGACTCAATAAGTAGTGCAATAGGTTTACAGATTATTTTCTCTAAAAATATACTTTATTTTTGTTCTTAAGATAATTTTCATCATTCTCTGTTACATATCAGTGTTTAACAGGAATAATCTAAGTATATCCTTCTTGGTACCTTTAAAAAAGGTTCTCATTCATTTAGAAAAATCAGTTCTTTGTTGTTTGAGTTATGAGATTGCTATATCATAGCCTTTGCCTTTTAGAAGCCTGAAATGGATACCAGTAGTTGACTCTTAAGTGAAATATCTGAATATATCTCTTTTAAGTTTTAACCAGAAATCTCTATTTTCACCTGCTACAAGGCTAGATAGATGTCCTAAGGTGGTGCAAGTAGTTAATGCACTTGGTGTTAAAGTTCACCCTGAGCGACCTCCAAAAGAAAGGCCTGGCAATCGGCTTCTGAAAAACTGTAAACCCTGCAGAGCACAGTTCTATTCTGACACACATGGGGCTATGAGTCAGAATTGATTCTAAGGCACTTAGTTTGTTTCTTGCTTTTATAGAGGATTAGATAGCTTTACTTTGTTTGTAAGTAGGGGAAATCAAGGATAAAAATGTTCATTCTGCACTCAGATCCAACAATCCAGGACTGATGGGCTGTGACAACATTCACAGGTAAAATTCAGTTTTGTATTTTGTGGTGGTAATGCTACTTCTGGCTGGAAGCTGGCTGTTCAGTTTCCATTACATTCACTGCAGGTGTAGCTTTTCTATGGGCATAATATTGCTTTAAGATTAGGAGAGTATAGAGTTGCTTTTTTTTTTTTTTGACCTGTGCATTAAATTTAATTTTCATTTGCTTTAGTCTGTCTCTGAAAGGATTTGTGTGAATTACATGTGTTCATATGCATGGGCTTATTTAATATTTTTGCTTGCATGAGTTCTTGAAATTCATTATGTTTTTTCCTTTAGACTTAGTATTTTTGTCTATCCTGGTTTCTTCTTTCTTATTGCCTTATTTTCATGTACTTCAGGTTACCCTTCACCAAAGGTCACTTTCCGAAGATGGCTGAGTGTGCACATTTCCATTACGAGAACGTTGAGTTCGGCAGTATACAGGTATATTTGAAATACTTTCTATATCCAGAATAAAGATATATATAACTGACAGGTGACCATTGAACGTAGTTTCTTGTATTGGTATAATTTTTGATGTGGTAAAAACTTCCATTCTCTTTTATTGACTAATACTTAACGCCTAGTAACTCCCATTTTAAGTAGAAACAGTAACCAGTGTAAATCTCAGAGTCTCTATCACATTCCTGGACAGATTTTGTCCATGTTTTATACATGAAGTGCTTTAGTTGTTACCTGATTTTGTGTTATGTCCACGTAATGATGGATAAATCAGAGCCAGGGGATGGTGTGGAATGGGCTGGGGTGGGAGAAGTGCTAATAGAGTTAAAAAATATATACATATATATCTGTATATGTATGAGTATATAGGTATATATGTGTGTGTGTGTGTATATATGTATATATATAGGTATGTATGTGCATATGTGTGTGTGTGTATAGTTATCGTCATTAGCTGCTGTCTAGTCAATTCCAACTCATAGCAACCCTGTGTACAACAGAAGAAAATGTAGTCTGGTCCAGTGCCATCATCACAGTCCTTGGTATGCTTGAGACCATCGTTGTAGTTACTATGTCAATCTGTCTTGTAGAGGGTTTGCCCCTTCACTGATCCTCTACTTTACCAAGCATGATATCCTTCTCCAGGGAATGGTCCCTCTGACAGGATGACCAAAGTAAGTGAGACAAAATCTGGCCATTCTCACTTTCAAGGAACATTCTGGTAGCATTCCTTCCGGGACAGATTTGGTCATTCTTGTGGAAGTCCATGATATTTTCACTATTCTTCATCAGTACCACAATACAAAGGCATGAACTCTTCTTTGATCTTCCTTATTCATTGCCCAGCTTTCACATGCATATGAGGTGATTGAAAATACCATGGCTTGGGTCAGGTGCACCTTAGTCTTCAAAGTGACATTTTTACTTCTTAACACTTGAAAGAGGTCTTTCGCAGCAGATTTTCTCAGTGCAGTATGACATTTGATTTCCTGACTGCTGCTTCCATGACTGTTAACTGTGGATCCAAGTAAAATGAAATCCTGACAACTTCACTCTTTTTTCCATTTTTCATGGTATTGCTTATTGGTCTAGTTGTGAGGAATTTTGTTTTCCTTTGTTGAGGTGTAATCCACAATGTAGTCTTTGATCTTTGTCAATAAGTGCTTCAAGTCGTCTTCATTTTCAGCAAGCAAATGTGATGTCATCTGCATATATCAAGTTGTTAACCGTTCTTTCTCCAATCCTAATACTGCATTTTTCTTCATACAGTCCAGCTTCCTAGATTATTTGCTCAGCACACAAATGGAATAATTATGGTGAAAGGATACAACCCTGATGATTTTAAACCATGCAGTATCCCCTTGTTCTATTTGAAGAACAATCTCTTGATCTATGTACAGGTTCTGCATGAGCATAATTAAGTGTTCTGGAATTCCCATCCTTTGCAATGTTACCCATAATTTGTTATGATCCACATAGTCGAATGCCTTTGCATAGTCAGTGAAACACAGGTAAACATATTTCTGGTACTCTTTGCTTTCAGTTAAGATCCATCTGACATCAGAAATGATATCCTTCATTCCACATCCTCTTCTGAATCCAGATTGCATTTCTGGCAGTTCCCTGTCAATATGTTCCTACAACTATATTTGAATTATCTTCAGCAAAATTTTACTTGCATGTGATATTAAGGATACTATTTGGTAATTTCCACATTCTCTTAGATAACCTTTCTTTGGAATAGGTACAGATATGGATCTTTTCCAGTCAGTTGACCAGGTAGCTGTCTTTCAGATTTCTTGGCACAAATGAGTAAGTGCCACCAGTGCCATCTGTTTGTTGAAACATCTCAATGAATATGCCATCAGTTCCTGGAGCCTTGTTTTTCTCTATTTCTTTCAGTGCACTTTGGATTTTTCCTTTTATACCATTGGTTCTTGATCATATGCTACCTCCTGAAATAGTTGAACTTCAGCCAGTTCTTTTTCCAACCGAACAAAACCAAACTCGCTTCCATCAAGTCAATTCTGACTCATAGCAACCCCTATTGGGTTTCCCAGGTGATAAATCTTTGTGGAAGTAGATTGCCCCAACTTCCATGAAGCGGCTGGTGGGTTTGAACTGCCAACCCCCTGTTTAGCAGTCAGATGGCTTAGGCACTGTGCCACCAGAGCTCCTTCTGTTTTCATACAGTGATTGTGTAGTGCTTCCATCTTCTTTTGCTGCTTCCTGTATCACCATTCAAAATTTTGCCCATAGAATCCTTCAGTGTTGTAAATCGAGACTTGAATTTTTTTCCAGTTCTTTCAGCTTGAGAAACTGACCACATTCTTTGCTTTTATTTTTCTAACTCCAGGTCTTTGCACATTTCATTATAATTTTTTGTCTTCTCCATCTGCCATTTGAAATCTTCTGTTCATTTTTTTTTTCATCATTTCTTCCATTCCATTCATTTTAGGTACTCTGCATTCAAGAGCAAGTTTCAGGGTCTCCTTTGACATCCATTTTTGGTCTTTTCTTCCTTTCCTGTCTTTTAAATGACCGCTTGTGTTCTTCATGTATGATTTTCTTGCTGTAATCCCACCAGAGCTTGTCTGGTCTTCAGTCATTGGTATTCAGTGTGTTAAATCTATCTTCATATGGCCTCTAATTTCAGTTGGGGTAAATGAGAATCATATTTTGGTTCTTGTGGACTTATTTTAATTTTCTTTAGCTTCAACTTGAACTTGCATATGAGAATTGCAGTCCACTCCTGGCCTTCTTTTGACTGATGATATTGAGCTTCTCCATTGCCTCTTTCCACAGAAGTAGTTGATTTGATTTCTGTGTATTCCATCTGGGGAGGTCCATGTGTATAGCCACCGTGTATATTGTTTTAAATAGATATTTGTAATAAAGAAGTCATTGGTCTTGCAAAATTCTTTCACGAGATCTCCGACATCATTTTTTTCACCAAGGCCCTATTTTCCAACTACCAGTGATTCTTCTTTGTTTCCAATTTTCACATTCCAATCACCAATAATTAGCAATACATCTTTATTACATGTTTGGTCAATTTCAGAATGTAGAATTTGGTAAAAATCTTCAATTTCTTCATCTTTGGTTTTGGTAGATGATATGTAAATTAGAATAATAGTAGTGTTAACTGGCGTTTCTTGTAGGTGTATGGATATTATCCTATCACTGACAGCATAGTACTTCAGGATAGATCTTGAGATATTCTTTGTGAACATGAATTCATTGCCATTCCTCTTCAGTTTGTCATCCCTGGCATAGTAGATCCTGTGATTGTCTGATTCAGAATGGCCAGTACCAGTCAATTTCAGCTTAATAATGCCTAGGATATTTACCTTCATCAGTTCTGTTTCATTTTTGACAACTTCCAGTTTTCCTAGATTTATACCACCACTTGTCTGTCATTTTGTCTTACTGTGGTGGCTTGCATGTTGCTGTGAGCCTGAAGGCTATGCCAACAGTATTTCAAATTCCAGCAGGGTCACCCATCATGGGCAGGTTTCAGTGGAGTTCCTGGCTGAAGACAGAGTGGGCAGATGAATGGGGCCATCCAATTCTGAAAAGACTGATCACTGAAAATCTTAATAGCAGTGAAACAGTGCCTGACAATTACTAGAAAACTTTATGAATATCTGTGAAACATTGTCTATATAGTACAAGAAGGTGAGTGCCTCAGGTTGAAAGGCACTCAGAATATGACTGAGGAAGAGCTCTCCTTAAAGTAGAGTCAGTCTTAATGACGTAAACTTAATAACCATCATTTGCTGATGGGGCTCAACTCAAAATGCTGCAAGTAGTTTATCCATTTTAAAAATTTTGTTTTCAGATTAAGACTCACAAACAGTTTTTCTGAGAACATTGTTGTTATAAATCGTGGTATACACATGCAGGAGTTTCTCTGTTGCATATACCTGGGAGTGGAATTTCTGGCTTATAATATACCCCCCATGTCAGCTTTACTAAGTAAAGCAAACTACTTTTTGAAATGATTTATAAATTTATAATCCAACAAGCAATAGATGAGAGTTGGAATATTTGTCAACTTCTGGTTTTCTGGTACTTCCCAACTTTTACCAATCTGATAAGAGATAAAATCCTTTCTCAATATGTCTTAATTTGCTTCTTCCTGATTTCTAATTAGTTGAGCATCTTTTCAAATTTTTATTGGAAATCTGAGCTTCCTATTCTTTTAAAAAATCCAGATGAAATCTTTTACTCATTTTGTTTTATTGATTTATGTATTTTTCTTACTCATTCATGAGAATTCTCTATATATTCAGGATGTTAGGGTTTTTTTTTTTTTTTTTTTTTTGCTATTGCATCTAGTTTTTTATTGTTTTTGTATACAAGTTGAAAATACCTTCTTCCACATTTTGATGTTTTTATTCTCTCTTTACACAGCTTATATAAAATATATTGGCATTCTGTATTTCACCTATGTTTATTCTATGTTTACTTTATATTTTATTTTATGTATTCATGTTTATGTGTGTATAAACATTATGGTTTGTAGTTTTTCTTTCCTCTTTAAGAAGTTCTTCCCTATTCTGAGGTTATGAAGATATCCTTTTATATTTTGTTCTAAAATCCTCATAATTTTGCCCTTCACATTCAGGTTACCAGGAGATTATGATGTTTGTATATGGTGTGAAAAGGTGTGATATTAAAAATTTTATCCACTAGTCTGTCGTAGCACCAACAATCTGAATGGATTCTCACCATTAGTATTGGAGGTGAGTTGGGATGGCCTGCTACTGTATCAGGCATTGCTGCTTTGGTTCCTGGATCCTGAGTGGTTTAGTGGTTGGGATAGAGTATTTCAGTATCTTAGAATTTGTGATCACCACCAATCTTAGGTGTGAAGAAGTGGTCCAATTTTATTACTTTTTTAAAGACATGACATATATTGATTAGTGAAATTTCAACCTTTTCCTCTAGCTTTGTCATGTATCATTGCCTTGTGTGCA